GTGTTGACTTAAACATTGTGCAATATTGTTTACCGCCGTTCTAAAATTAACCTAATTAAGTTATAGTTGATTTTGTTATCGAATAACAATCACATCGTTATCAATGCCTATAACTATTGGCTTGAGTGTTTGCAAAAACAAGTGAAGTCGACATTATAAAGAAGAAAGTTGAAATACAAATAAACATGCAGTGTGTCTAACATTCGTCAAACATCTGGCGAGTTTGTCCAACAATTTTTCGCTCGTTGGCGCTAAGGATTTTATTGCTGCAAAATTTGTTACACACATGCTAACATTGTATTCATTAATTAACTAAGATATGGAATGTAAATTAAGTGGAATGTATCTATAATTTCTTAGTGAATGGATGGAAATTATTATATGCAATAGAAACCTTTGCAACTCCGAAGATTAGAAAAAAGCTAACGTGAAATATTTTGAACAATCCCAATGGTGTCTTAGTGAAATCTATATACTCGTATATACTTCTGTACTATTACAATAAAGCGTAAACACGTACTTCTTTGTTGCCTAAGATGTCAGCAATTACAGCATATTTTTGAATAATTCTATCTTTAATGAAAAGCCTTACACTTACGTCACGCTTTAGGCTATATATTTTCACGTCATTAAACTTAGGGAGTAAATATTTTGGATAAAAACCCTAATGTGGGAAAGAGACGATAAGTTGCTGCCAACATCAAGAAAGATTGCTAAGGTTTGTCATGTCGTGTCATATCATTTTGACATTGTTATTGATAATTTGACAAATGTAAACAATAAAATAAAGTTTTTACAATTTCCAGCGGGTGAATCCGCACGCGAACAGCTGGTATTTTAATTACGTTTTAGATTTTTATAGCATATACCTTTTCTGCCATCCTACGCACATTCCAAGAAAGTATCAACATCCAATGTGTAAAACCTTAACTGCGTTAGTGTTTAGTGTCAGATAATACTTTTGTGTCAAATGATACTGTAGTAGGTTTGTAACATGCGAAATATGAGTTTACTGAGCTTGCTTTAATTAATGATACTTTTTTATAAGATTATGCGATACACGTAGCATATCCTTTTCCTTGAAAAGACCTTGTTCAGAATATCGAATCTCAATACCAGTATGAAGGCTGTTTTACGCTTCATGTATTTTAACGCTTCACGAGTATATTAAATTTTAAAAATGCGTATCTGTAATATTTTTATTCATATCTAAAAGTACATAAAAACTCTTAAGCCGTCTCATGTGAATTCTTTTTAGTAGATATAAAGATTGTCCTAAAGAAATTTAGAGCAAAATAACATATTAAAACAATCATGAGTGTTATGTAAAGGTAGTCGTGGTAAATGATTAATTTAAAAAAAAAGCGTTACTTAAAAGTTGTCTAGACTTCCATGAAAATACAATAATATCGAAGCATCTTGAAACCAGTTTATTCCCGGTTGCAAATATTTTCTTACAAGTCTCATGTTGAAATATTCCACCGTCTATGTTTACATTTTTTCATATTCCGTCTTGGCTTAATTCAACTCAGTACACTTTTTAGGAGTTAAAAAAATTATTGTTTATTTACGACAATCTCATTTTAAAATGTAAATGTTTAACTGTATTCTAGAAACAGTAATTTTCGAAACAATAAACACAGAAAACTTTAAAATAAAGAATAAAAGTTTGAATGCTATGCTGCCATCTGTCGGCAACAATGGTAATCATACTAATAGCAGGCACTTTTGTATCACACTAAGATATTTAAGAGTTCTCGTTAGATGGCGCTTCAAAAAGTTTAAATGGCTTACGTATAGATGGCGATAGTTGCAATGATTTCGAAAAACATTCATGGGTTTTTAAATCTTTTTAGACTTTATGATGGATGTGGTATTGGAAATTTCCTATTCATATGATTTCGATGATCGATCGACTGATCAATTTACTGATCATATAAGATACTGGATTCGATAACCTTTTCATAAAATTAAAAATAACATTTTTATATTAATTCTAAAATCGCACTTTTTCTTAAAAAACTTTTACCTCAAAATTTGATTGTGTACTTTCCGTTCGAAGAACAGTTTCTCTATTTTTTGTACATAACAGTGTTACCAAGTTAGCTATACTAATAAGTTTTTGCGTACTTTCATTGCATTTGAAACGCATTATTTTTTGATTGGCTTTTTTCCCTTTCGATCATCGGGCAAAAAATTTGATCTAATAATCTACTTCGAACTTTGAATATTTGCAGCCTTTAGGCAATTTATTGCAGTGTAAAACTGAAAATTGGTCTTATTGGGAGTAATAGAAATTTCTAAAGCGATTGTTCTTCGAGTTTATTGTCTTTACTTCATTTTTAAGTTTGCATTTTTTTATTAAGAATGACTAATGTAAGGCTTAAAAAAATTAACGTATTTGTTAACTATGAAACTAATATCGTGACGATCATAAAAAGCGTAAGGTCATTGACATATTACATCTCACCAAGTCTTTACTCTTCATTGAATTAATGTTTAATTTGTAACACTAGATAGAGTATTAACTATTCTTTCTTTTATATCGTTTTGTAAACCTTCAGAATCAAAGTTCGAGAATATTCAGGTAGAGTTAATGATGTCACTATTAGTAGAATATTTCTGTACATTACTTAACCTATCCTCAATATAAAGCAATTATCAGATAATCTTTTAAAATGGTCACATAAGGACAGCAAAGTAATTTGACACTATGAAAAAGAATTCAAACTTCTTAGAACTGTCAATCATTCGTTTTTTAAGGAGGGTCTAAAGTTTATTATGGTCCTTTTTTATCTGTACCGGTTACGTGAATCTTGAGATTTGTTTTGTTTTATTTATTTGTTGTTTTGGTGTTCTAGTGTTATATACCAATGAGTCATACACTTGTGTTTTGTCTTTCGCAGTTTTAATTTATGCATGGTTTTTCCTAATACAAGATCCGAACAAATCTTTTTGCTTTACTTGTTGTAACTTGTTTATTTTTGTTGTTAGTAATATTCAAAAAGAATTAAAGAAATACCTGTTCTAGAATTGGTCAGAAACATCTAAAATTTTATAATATTTTTAAATCAACGAACCAAATGTGACTTTAATTTTAACTAGCTATTACTTGCGACTTTGTCGGTATGAAATTAAAAAATATTGATGGTTAATGGCGAAAGAATTTTTGAAATCGGCCAAGTAGTTTTTGAGTTACATCAGTACATACAAAAATACAAATCTTTCCTTTTAATATTAGCATAGATAAACCGGACGATGTGCCATTTTAAGACACTTCGTTGTAAAACCTACGCAAAATCATACTTATAGAAAATTAATAAAGTGGACACAAAGCTCCATAGAGGTCCAATGACTTTTATTCGATTCCTTTCGGCCTCTACAGAAACGCGTTTCGTTTAAGTCACGTTTATTTCTTTATATCGCGGTATATTCGCAAAAAAACATTACGTTGGGCTCATCAGCACACGCTGATATTAATATATCCTGAATTAAATATAGGACTAAGTTATCATTGACAAATTACAAGTACGAATTACTTAATTTTTAGAGTTTGGCTTCTGTTCTGATATTATAAGAATTCTGGACATACTTAAATAAAAAACAAGCTTTATCTCTCGATTTATCTTTTATAATCCATGGTTATTAAAAATCGATCGAGTTTGCCGCGACATGCAGTCTTACAAAACGGGTCGGCCGTCTAAAATTGAGTTTTTTATGCACCGAGAGTTGTTTTTTTTTTCTCGTTGAAGATGTATCAGAAATATCCTGCGGGAGGTTTTGGGCGATGGGGGGTGTTGGGGGAGGGGAGATACCGCGCGTTCGCATATCTTGGGTATGACGTCACGAGGGCCTGTAAAACCTCCGTGAACCCGAGTCAAGGCCTTCGAGACTTGCATTTATTTGTTTTTATATCAGTATTATTGTGTTATGTATTGATTCAGTTTGAACTATAATGTATTTAGTTTGTGTGCTTTGTTCGTGTTAGAGTTGATTAATATTGATCCGGGTTTACTCAAGACTAGCTGTAGCCTGCGACTTCATCCACTTATTATATAAAACTTAGCCTATAATATACCCGTCTATGTCAGCTACCCTTCAGTGAAAGTCCGGTGTAAAATAGCCCGGCTGTTACAGAGATTACCCGGAACAAATGCGGCTTGCGGACAGACAGACAAAAATTTTAAATGCGATTTCCATTATCAGCAACGCAAATACATACATCATCTTTCCGAAATCTGGAATTTTTCTTTTGATATTTCAAACAGACACTCCAATTTTATTATATGTATTTCAACATGGTAAAGATATTGTAAAAAAAGTTGTAATTAAATTTATCGTAATGTTAAACCAAAACTCAATATTGTTGCTTACATCTTAAAACTGTGAGCTTCTAATTATCTCATTGTTCACTCCAGAGTTATCGCTCAAACAAGTTCCATACACTTGTCCGGCGCACATTTACACGTGATAGAGTGTATAGTGCGACTAATTTATCTGGCCCGGTGAGTTAACTCGTTGCTTTTGTCAAAAAACCTACCAAGACATAGAAAATAACACACACAGCTGTTACAGGCTGACAACGATCTTGTGGTAGTTTTTAGTCATTGAAAGTAAGGCGTTTCTTATGTAGTTTAATTTTACTTATGCACACCGGGTCGAATTAGTTTGTCTATCTTTACTAGTGTACGAGGTGGCTAAAGTATTGTAACGGTTGGTAATTCCGAGAAAACATTCCCAACGTCTCAGTCAACAGACGCCACTTCTTAATTCGTTTGTTTTGAAATTCTGTCACTATTGTTTTAAAAGTTTACTTTCTTTGCAATTGACTTTTTTTTACTATCATCATAGGAACGATTGTAAATCTATACCTACCTACATTTTATGTTAAATAATTATGATTATTCTATTATGCAAATTCGACTGTGATCTTTTATCTCGGACTGTTATTATCAGTCGATTTTTTTGACGCGTGGTTTACAAATTTTATTTTATTCCAGGTGATGGTATGGGGCACCAGTACGGTAGCTGAAGTGGTATCGGAGCCTATACAAGAGGCCGGTGCTGTGATCGCTGGTTTACCATCAGGGCCTCTATCGACGCCGCAAACCTTAGCCCTGACCGCACCTTTACCTCCACCATCAGCTCTCTCTGGACCTCCAGCGGTGTTGCTGTTCCTCGGGGGTTCCAAAGCACCGGTAGACCCGAGAGCGTCCGCACTCTCTCTAGAAGGTGAAGTCATTGTGGTAGAGAATGAACCCCCGATATGGGACGGCAAGGATCTGGAGACGTTCCTTGCTTGGGAGAAGATGTACGGTGAGTAACTAAACTGTACAATGTAGAGTTTCTATAAAGTATAGAGCCTACAATTAAATTAATACCTATCAATTTGTCATCGAAAACATGAAGTATTTAATTTCTAAGAGCAATGCGTCTACGATCGTCTTTTATTTATAGTTTAATCTACATGATAGCTTCTATCAATCATTCCATAGTTTCTATTCACGAAAAAACATGCATATTCGATTAATAATAGTTTCAACATTAGCATATATCGAATATGCACATGAAAATGTATAATCAGGTAACGTAGAGTTGAGAAAACGACAGACTTTCCTCCTTGTCAATCGTATCTTGAATGCAGACGCTCAATATTCCGATAGCGTACGATGTTTGTAGAAAGCGCTTTGGCAATAATGAAACGTGTACGCACGCTATTGTGTCGGTAATCTTTCGCAGAAATAGCCCGTAGTATGCAAACCGAACCCACCAACCGTGACTTACATTGGGAATTGGATACTAAATAAATGTCCTGCCAGATCACGAACTCTGATACAAAATCTTCAAAATAGTTATGTACCAAAGTTACAAAAAAATCCAAGGGGAATTATTTCCTTTACGTTCATAGTTTACTTCTAATTTAAGGGTGCGTCATGGTGGTTTTGAGAATACGAAAGCTTACATCTTACTTCTTACTTAATATTATAAATGCGAAAGTTTAGATGGATGGAAGGGTAGATAGATGGATGAATGGATGGATGGATGGAGGATGTTTGTTAGAGTTTGTAGCCTAAACGGCTGAATGGATTTCGGTGTAATTTGGTACAGATGTAGAGGATAATCTGGAAGAACACATAGGCTACTAACGTTTGTTTTTTATTAGTTCCACGCGGACGGAGCCGCGGGTGTAAGCTTGTATAGTATAAACATAACTTTAGTCTAAATTATCTAGACATTTCTCTACAAGATAAATCAATTTTAGAATCCCATTAACTTCAGTGGCGCTTGACGATTATTGGTTTTGCAACATACAAGAACGTAGAATACTAATCACTCTCCAACTATCCATATAAGAAGTAACGTTCGTTATCGAAGCTGAAACATCATTTAATAAACTATTTGTACGTGTATAGGATTTAATTTGGTTGCGTACTCACCGTTTGCCTTATACAGCTCTAGTTCAATAAACGTAATGGCTCGAGGTTCGTTAGTGGTGCGGGATTGATTTATCGAAATAAATTGTAAAGCGATGTGGTTAATATTTTTGGTTTTTATTTTTAAATTAATGCGCTTTCTGCGTCAATAGATATATAGAGTAGAGAATTGAAGACAACGATGTGAATCTATGTACTGGTTTTCAAATGTTGAGGTACATAATTAAAAACGGTCTTGGTCGATGCTCTTATGTAATATGTTTTAATACAAGGTGAATAATTTGACATTCGATTTGACCTTTCCAGCGCCCACGCGGCTCCATCTATTGTGCCAATTTATTATACCACTACGAGATACAGATGAACGTATACAATTATTTTCGAAACATGTCATTACTTCGGTGAAGTCATGACACTATATAATGTGATATAATAATATATAATTTCTCTTTTGTTGCAGCCTCAACATTGTTCTCAGCATTGGAGTTGTACGGCAAGCCGCTATTGAGGGCGGCAGTCATCACGCGGGAGGAATATCATTTGCTGTTCTATTATTTGGAATCCGTGTCGGAAGCGAGCGAGGCTCTCACTGAACGAATGAGAAAGTACATCGATTCCGGATTGCTGATTAATGAGAGCCACAAAGAAGATACTGACACTTTAGTGGAGAACGAAGATGTCACGGAAGAAGATGATAGCAAAAGTTTGTTAACGGAACTTATAAATGAAGGTGTTCTTACCAGGAAAGACGTCGACAATTCTTCCGTAATCACAAGTTCAGAATACACAGGGCAAAGCGACGTCAACCGAAAATTAGACGACACAGATAATTGTTCGAGCGTCTCCTCTATAGGTGTCAGTCTTCGAAAAATATTTGTAGACATTCCAGTGGATACTAATGATCCCGATGTGGACGGTTCGGTTGTAGAGAACGAAATCGAAAGTGTGTCGCTGCGAAATAGTCGACAGTGCTGCGTCGATCATCGGATATCGGCCGATGCTTCCGAAAACGTGTGGGCCAACGTAAGGTGGGATTTTCTCAATCCTTCAGATTATGGATACGATCAAATTCCGAGCGTGAAACGGAGCCGCTCTGAATCTGCGATCACTCCAACGGCGAACCGACGGCGACACGACGAAATCTACGAGAGACTTCGCGACGACGCTGAGTCCTGCGGAAGCATGACGCCATACGAATCTATAGAGGATCTGTACGACTGTATTAAGAACACGTCGTATATGAGCGCGGCCGCTGTAGAGTCGTCGCCGTCCACTGAGAGTCAATCGGAGCCGCAATACCCTGACTACGACGAGAAGTCGATCGCAACGCGCCAAAGTTCCGCAAGCAGCGACAAGAGTGGTGCCTCGTCCGCCTTTCCGTTTTCAAAATGCGGATCCAGTGACTCAACGACGTATACGTCGTGCGAATCTACAAGTGGCATCAGCACTTTCGCTCCGAAGTGCAGTCCAATTTTGAAGAGTCGCGATCTTCCGCCGCCGCCGACGGTGGGCGAGGTCAGCGAGAGTGCGATATTGCTGAGACAGCTGTTCATGGGCGAGCTGGTGGACGTGTACGGCGAGTACCTGGCGGCGTACCCGCACGCCCGCGCGCTGCTGCGGCGTAAGGCGCGGCGAGATGACCACTTTGCGGCGCTCGCTGATATCCGCAGAGGAGCTGCAAAGTATTCTATCGCCGACTACCTAGAGCTACCGGTAAGTCTTAACAAATACACACTTTTAATACTTAAATCTATGCTTGCATCACTTCCTTGTTAGGCAAGTGCACTATACACGGTTATGTATGTTTCATATCTAAATGTCAACATCGTCTACGAAGTATTATTGAATTGTATTTTTAGAATATCTTGTTGCAAGCTTCTTGAGAAAAAAAAACAGTTTATTTTTGCAACGAGAAAAAGTTCCCTTTTTACATTAAATATTACCAACCAATATTTAATAACATCACAAGATTTACGCTGGAATTAACTTTCCCAATTATTTGTATAAAGGTTTTAAACAGATAAACGTACTTCCTATTGTATTGAATCTATAGATTCGAGAGCGTAGAGCGTGTTAAATATGGTCATTAAGTTTAAACGGCGTAGAGATGAGAACAATACGGTGCCGGGATTGATTTAGATGGAGGGCTCGATGGGTAGATCGTAGTTCGCTGCAATGATACGCGGTCTCGCACGCGCCATGCCGCGCCGCCATTCAATGCTAATGGCCCTCCACGTGCATGGATCTCTCTCGCCTCGCATTGTTTTCTAGAGTTCACGTTTCGAAGCGTTCGGAAAATTTTTGTACCCTTATTAACATATCAAGATGTCGAATACGGAAATTCAGGTATCAAGACAGCTTGATTTTTTTTACAACAGAATCACTGCTGAAGTGTTTATATAGCATTCATATTTTAATGCTAACTTTATCGATGGTGAAATACATTATCCGTAGACAGATATCCGGCGTGCCAGTTTCCTACAACTTACTGCAGTTACTTTAGTAGGGCGAGCACCGTACAGCTCTGAACTTCCGCTGTGTACAGTTTTTATATACGATTATACGAAATCTTGTACAATTTTATGTCTGTCGGTTGTCTGCATTTCAACTATTAAATCTGGCGAATTAAATATGGTTAAACAATTTTAGTATACAGGAAATTTACTTCAATACAAATGTTTACAACATTAGTATGAAGAATGATTGAAGTAAATTGCGTAAGTTTAGATGGATGGATGTTTGTTAGAGTTTGTAGCCTTAATTTTCGGATTTCGATGAAATTTGGTACAGATATAGAGGATAGTCTGGAAGAACACATAGGCTACTTACTATTTTTTTTAATGCCGCGCGGACGGAGTCGCGGACGTAAGCTACTTTATCATAAACTAAGATAATTTAAGGGAATCCTAAATTTAAATTTCAAGCAACAGTGCAATAGTTACCTTATATTAAAATCGCAACAACATTTAAGAGACCAGAAAAATTTAGTTTCTTTCCGTTGCTATAACTTACTTAAGCGAGTGTTTTCTATTATAATTGTAACAGATTTAATAAGAAAGTCTACTCAGATGCGTGCCATTGATTTATAAAGTTAACGACTATCTATTAAATAACACAAAGTTATGTTAACCGGTGAATAAATAGAGACAGATATGCTGAGCTTTATGATGCAATCCGAAGTTGAACAGGTAGCTGGGTCTGCCCACGTACCACCCACGCCCTTTCATCGGTCATCATTGTTTATGATTCTTAATACTTAAATGTATCACTGGTCAACCTTTAGAATAAAGCCTTTGTATAAGCTTTAAACGTGGGCTTTTACTGCTGTAACATGTGTAAGTATTTTTATGCCCACAGGTTGAAACTTAACTGAAAAAGTCAAAATTTCAGAAATTATAATATCTGCATTTAGTTACACTTGTGAAGTTTTAGTATGCTGATAATTATCTAAAGGCTGTTTTAAGTAGAGCTTTATTGAGCCTTTAGCTCATTTCTGTGTCTTTACCTAAGTTAATATTAATCGAAGTTTTGCTTTATTTGAAATTAAAATAACATCGTGTTTGTGCGATACTATTGCGCTTCTGTTCGCATACAAATCGCATGTCGCCTTCTAAAGCTTCGATAGAGTAATGTTCGTCGTTTATGTTGAATGATAAATATTTAATACAACTGTCTTCAACTTGTCTTTATTTTCCTCCTATCTATTTTTAAAATTTCGCAGAACAGTTTCAGATGTCATTATTATTTTTTGTTTACTGTTACGAGAGTCCACTAATTCAATACTTCTGAATGAGGCTACATTAAAACCACTTTATTAACTAGAATCTGATTTTATTTTCATGAAAATGCATTGTCTTTTAATAAAAATACTGTTGCTTTAATTTTCTCAAAGAGAACAAAAGGGTTGGCGATATGATGTTGTGTTTAGATATTGAAAACCGCTGTGAGTTAGATAGTGTCGGAATTGTAATGGCTTACATAAAGCTATGATATATTGTTATTAATTTGAGCGGCGTGAGCTAAGATTGATATAACGATTGTATGGATTTAAGTAATTATATGTGAAAGAGAAATAAATCAGTATAAAGTATTGAGTCGGTGCTGTGGCGCGGCAGCCGGCGGCGTCCCAGCGCGCTTGGAATGTCCGATCCGGAAGCGGTGAGAGGTTATTTTAAAACGATGCCCACTAATGCAATCTGTTTATTTCGGTATTTTATAATCTTACTAATATTATAATTGCAAAAGTTTGGATAGATGGTTTGTTAGAGTTTATCTGAAAGCACACATACTTACTTTTGTTTCTTTTAATTCCACGCGGACAGATTAGTTGGCGGAAGCTAGCTAGCTAATAACAAAAATTACCACCTATTTTTTTTATTTAACTCATTTGATTTGCAAAACCACTAAAATTTGTTGCGTAGCAAAAAATATGGACATCAAGTGCAAATAAAATACATTAAAAACAGTACGAAAATATACCTACAGCTATAAAAGCGTTATGAGTGTAAAGTTCAAAAGAATTCTATCAAGATTTCTAGTTCAAAGTCTGAAACTAATTTGCAAGCTTTGTGATCTTGACGATCTAAAGAACCGTTTGCGCGAAGAGATAAGTATAGACTCGAAAGAATGTTGCGCCGGCTACGCGCTCCTTCGAAGCCTTTTCGTTTATGTATTCCCGCCACGACCTCTATCTAGCAATGTTCACACTAAAAGCCAACGTTAAACCCGCCTTAAGACTCTTTCATCAATTTGTAGTAAATATTTCGAGACTTTTACCAAGATTTAAAAAAAAAAGAAATTATACCTTATTTCCAAAGTCAAGATAAATATATTAAGACTGCCTTTAACTACCTGCTTTCAATTTTAATGTAACAATTAATAATTGGAAACAATTTACATACATTGGGTGACCCAATTCGTTTATCAATTTTTAATGCTTTAAAAGAAATGAAAAGGATTTTTTTAATTATTGAAAATTTTTAAGGTGGCATATAAAATTGAAATTATATTTGTAATGTTTAACGATCCTCTTAATGTATTAATCGAGTTTGAATAACTCGTTAAACAAATTGAAAGCTTTTGAAATGCCCGCGTTTTGCAATACGAAAGTGTGGGATAATTTTTGTAAAGTGGCATACACCGACCAATTTATATTTTTATATTGAAATTCTCAAAAGAGATCTTAATGTGAGTTTATAGATATTAGTTTACAGATATAGATATTGATCAGACTATGCTCGTAACGTAGACGTAGGCAGAAATGTCGGATTTCCAATTAGATTTTGCCACTTGTAAATTAAGCCAATATTTTCCAAACTTTAGAATAGGTTCATTCTTTTGCATGTTTCTCCTTTAATCAAGATCTTTACATCATATAATATTATCATTATCTTCAAACGTATCAACATTATTTTAAAAACAGCTGTCTTCAGATTCATATGATTAAAATGAGCTTAATTAAAAAAAAATCCAGATCGTTCTGATTACAAGAAACGGAATTTATTTACCTAAATACAGGTCAAATCTTTTACATTAGTATGGTCATTTAAGTGAATTTATTTCACTACTGAAGTAATCTTGGTATCAACAAGCTTTTTATTAGCATTCTACACAAGTATCGTATGGCCACTTGCCTCGCGACATCTCCATGTACGGATTTGCGTTCAGATGTGACTGGCTTAAATATGTTAATCTCACAGACTAACCCAACATGTTTAATAGCTGACTAGTTATACTGGTAACCCTTTCAACATAGGCCACTTAGCACTAGCAGGATGTTGTCACATTTATTATTACTTCGAGATTTTAATTAAGATTTTCTGATACTAAAAACCCATATATGTGGTTTGCTAACATTACACTTTTGGCCAGCATGTTTGTGTCATTAATAAATTGTTGATGAAAATAAAGACCTGTTTTCTATTTTTAAACGATCGGTATTTCGTCCATTGTTCAAGGAGTTTTTACACGTTTTTAGAGTCAAGCCATTAGAAAAGAAGAAGAAATTAAGTTATTTAAAATTAGAACGACGTCTTCACTTTTTTATAGTCTGTTTCTGTACATATTTTGTCATTACATAATGTCTCCGTTAAAATAGTTTTATTTCAAAATCTTTTACGATACACATCCATTTTCTCTTTTTTTCTCTTCGATTGTTACAAATTACATTTTAAAATCAGCTATTTACTGTACCATAAAGGACTATTTTCTTATTAATCTCATGCGTTGATCTAAAATTACTATAAACATATAGATGTAGGTTACGATTGTCGCCATTTTCTTAGCATCAGTGACAGCAACGCACGCTTAGGTTGAGAAATGTTAGCATGGAAAAATGAGGGTAAGCTACTGTTCTTTAAATATCATCTCTCAAAATCTCTGATCCGTGGAAAGAAAGGAAATATTCGGTGTTTTTGATTTTTTTGTGCCATTATATTGAAAATAACCATTGAGCCTTCTTTAGGATTGATTTCTCTGCTTAATAACTTCACTAGTCGTTGCCTGTGGTCATTAAAAAAAAGTAATAAAGTTATAAAAAGTAGTAAAATTTTATTAGTGAGTTTTGCGCAAATTCATGCGTCAAACTATGCAGAATGAGAATTTTTTCCAGTGGTTTTCCCAAACTGTAGACTTAGTCCGGTAAGGAAAGTATATTTCTTCCTTAAAAATTGCTTTTTGCAGTTCCTATGTTAATTATTTTTTGGCGTAGATAG